GAAAAAAGGAGGATATTGAAAAAGTAATAAGAAATAAACAAATAAAGAAAATATTGAAGTATTAAAATATTAAATTATTAAAATAATAATTTAAAAAGTAGAAGACGCCACTGGTGGCGGCGTCTCCTCCCGGTGCCGCCACCAGCGGTGGCGTCTCCGTCCGATGCCGCCGTTCCCGGTGGCGGCCAACACCAATTTATTTACTACTTTAAAAATAACCCCATTTTAAAAACTCCAAAACAAAACAACCCCAAAAAAAAAATTGCCCCTTAGGGTTTAAGATGATTCTGGTGTCAGTTAATTAGTAATATATATATTAGAAAGAAAAAAGAAAAGGGGGGGAAGTGATCTGATGGGGCAGCTGCCACCATAGGTAATGTGTGTATCCCATAAATTAATGGGAATTGTCAGAAATTCAATCATGAGCCTATACACGTATATACTGCATTACATTAACCATTTTCTCTGACCTAATTATATTTCCCATCCCATCTCTACCTACTTACACTACTTCTCTCTCTTCCCCTCTCTGTGTTTATTTTTAAGTAATTAGTTTACTGGCAAAAAATATTTTGCATGGTCCATAATTTAATAAATAAAATAATTAAAATGGTGTTTTCCCTTATTAATTAGATCTTGCTAAGAGAAAAGGGAACCTGGATTTGGATAAAGTTTATGCAGAAACTAAAATGGAAGCATCCACGCTCTACTTTTACACTCATGAGTTAATAATAATAATGCTTCAACACTAGGAAATTTTTTAATAATATGCTTCATATATATATATATATATATATATATATATATATATATATATATATATATATATATATATATATATTGCCATAACCTAATTTCATTTTGCTTGATGAGTACAAAAATCAGAAGCATTGTTTATTAATTAATGATCTCTGGTGTTTTCTCTCTTCCTCAGCTCGGTATAGAGAGAGAGATGGGAGAATTTCTTGATAACAGTTGAACAATGTACAAAACTAGAAAAGACAGAAGAAAACAGAAGCTTCTCATCAAATGCTAGGGTTTCCATTATATATATATATATACATATATATATATATATATATATATATATATGCTTAGCTTCTTGATCAGTCTTCAACTTCAAACAGTACTTCAGTTCTTCACCATTTGCCACGCTAATAATCACTCATACATTATCACTGCAAAATACAAGTTAAAAACATGCCAGAAACACTAATATACGTGATTTAAAAGTGAATGAACTGAAATAATTAATTAAAAATAAAAGAGCCCATGATCTTACCTTATTCTTGATGTTTACGAAGAAAGATGTAATAAAGGAAATGAAAATTTCACGAGGGTTTAGCAAAGAGAAACAAACCAGAACTCAGTTGGCAGTATGCCCACCTCCTTCATATTTATTAATTAATTACAGAAATCAATTAATTAATTACTTAATTAAGAAATTAATTCAAAAAGCAGGAGGTGGACAGAATGCCAAAAAACTCTGGTAGAAGCCCTTTGATAAACACAACCATGAATATTTATTTAGACTCCACTCTCAGAACACACACACACACACAGTATATACTACTCCATTTTCATACATACAAACACACACACTAGAAATTGAAGCAAATGAGAGAGGTGGGTAAAAATAAAGGGCAGTTGGGGGCTACTATTTAAGATGTGGTGTGAGGCTACTACAGTAATTAAGTGAGAGAGAGAGAGTAGAGAGAGAGAGAGAGAGAGAGGAGATTCAAGCTGTGAATAATTAATGGGTGTGGTGGCCTGGTGGGAGTCGATAGACACACATATATATATATAATACATATAAATAATATTACTATTATTATATTTTCAGCAATAATAATAGTAACGTGATTCAATTTATGGCTAGAGATTACAAGAAAAGTTATAAGAATCATTGTAGTAATTAGAAATATTATTATTATTAGTATTATATAGCAAAAAAGAAAGAAAAATATACTGTGTATATATATATATATATACGTATACATATATAGATATGGAACTGTATCAGTCTTTTCTTGCCTTTGTCACGCACATCACGTTATTTGACACATAATAAAAGAACTGGAGAAAAGAGGCTTAAAAGGGCTTTTAGGGGTAACTTTTTATCTTCTTCACTGACTAAATTATTATATATATATTTTTTATTTTTATTTTTTTTCCTGTTTAAATTAGGGTAAATTACAAAGCTATCGGAGATAATGTATATTTATAAAAGAACCCCTCATGTTTCCATAATTACATCAACCTCACGTAATCTGTAGATTTTGTATATTAACATCCTCTTGTAGGAGGTGGATGTAAGTAACTTACAAACTACATGGGACTTTTTTGCAATTACAGTCAACCCCTGAGTTATTGCCAAATTATAAAAAAAATCATTTTGTTTGGATAATTACAACCACTCTTTTAAATATGTTTACATAAAATTTATGTCATTCGTTATTTGGCGAACCAAATCGTATATTTAGTTCAGTAAGCGATAAATAATGTTGGCGTACCTAAAATTTAGTTCGATTTACCGATTTAATATCCCTAAATTTACCTTTGAATGGGTATTTTCGTAAGATAATAGAGGTGTTTGTAATTATCAAAATAGAAGGGGTTTCGTAATTTAACCATAGCGCAGAGTTTGGACGTGTGTGTATATATATATATATATATATATATATATATATATATATATATATATATATATATGCTTTTTCTCCAATTAAATACAGTATAATTTATTCATTGGCGGTGAAGCTCCTTACCTTTTGGGCGATAGTGAGAGTGTAGCTAGGAACCTACCTAGGTATCAATACATAGTTACACTTTTCATTTAATTTACAAATCTTAAAAAAAAAATTCAAACACCACGAATTTTGACTTTTGACCCACAAATGAAGACCCAAAAAAGTTCTTTATAAAAAGAAAAAATAAAATAAAATAACTAGAAGGTTAAAATCAAAAGAACTAGTCTACCAGATACTACATTTGGTGAAAAAAATCACCAATTGATGTTATACCATATATCTATACGAATAATTACCCACGAAGCACACACGTACGGGTGCACGTGTTATTACGTGTAAATCAACGTTGCATAATCACCCAGTGTATTTCATCGGGTGTACGTAGCATCTGCATAACCGAGCCAGCTAGCTAGCTAGGTGTAGGTGATATATTCCCTTTTCCAAGAACCTAAAAAGGAAAAGAAAATACAGCCATATTGTCTAGTGAAATGTCACACTCATCACCCCCCCCACAACACAAAACCCTAGCAGCAGCTGCCCACTCTTTTAATTTAATTCAATTCAACCCTGCAGTTTGCTATTTCTTTCTGTTTTCAGTATCACTATTTATATCACTCCAAATTTTCCCCCACTACTTCAATTTCAAAACTTGCGTCCAGTACTGCTGTAAATTCAAACTTATTACATTATTAAATACTGTATTGATGTGTGTGTGTGTGTGTGTGTGTGTGTGTGTGTGTGTGAGAATCTGTTCTGCTGTTTTATTTGAAAGTTGAAACTCTTATCCCCTCTCATATTTATTGC